TCTGAACCTGAGAAACATGTCAGGTTACGCGGTTGGTTATGGTCAGAAATCTCACCTTTGCTGATTGGGTCACCCAACTCTGGGCTCTCCATCATACTACCTGATGCATGACTATAGCCTATCCCACGCCTACGTTTCACCCACCTCGATTGATGCTCCTCCTGAACTGTACATAGATCGTGTAGACAATCTAAAGCATGGCCGAAGAATCTGACCATGTGATGAACGATATTGACCTTATATTTCCGTCCGAGTATAGTACGACAGACCTCATTGAGGCCATTGAAGCATGCCTCAAAGCAGTGAATCATTTGGCGCATCAGTTGCTCGATTAGACTCAGGATCCGGACGTCTGAGCTGCACTTTAGGGACCAGAACGGAGCACAGCATTCATTTACCGCGGCTTCAAGTAGTAAAGTAGATTGTATGCATATGCTACTGAGTCGCTCGATATCTGCCTGGATATTACACGCTGTGGTACATAGCTTTAGGCTTAAGTTCTGACGAGTGACTTTTATTACTGTCAGAAGTAGTTAGCATTGTACAGGTGCTGTCCCGAGTGATACCGTGTAAAAGCCCACTCATGCGAAGCCTTCCGGTGTAGAAATTCGAAAAAAGTGAGAAGGTATGGATCTAACGTACTATGGCTGCTCAGCGTGTAGATGATGTCCTGATCGGAAGCACTGACATCCTTCTCTTGTCTTTCGACACAAGTCTCGACGCTTGCCCATGGACGCTTCCGAGGGACGACAGGAGTGATTTCGTAGTCTTGCGCCGCAGCGCCTGTCTCCTGTTGCCGCTGCTTCTCCTCCAGTACTTGAAGCTTTCTCTCTAGATCTTTCTTTTCTTGGTACAATTGATGGCATTGGCTTTTCCAAAATTCAGACGTATCAATGTGACGATGGTCTTGCTCTGCACTAGGTTTTCCGGCTCGCTGGAACTTTCCAAGTTGTGCATGATAGTCTATGGGCCGGTCAGGAGAAGTACTCCAATGTTCAGGTGTAATACCTACCTTTGACTGGCATCCCTGCTGGTATAGTGTTCTGGATCGCAAGAGCAAGAGATAATTGACTCTTGTTGAATTGTGAAGACAGCTTCTGCGGTGATTTGGTCTGCTTTTGAGTTGTACTTTTCTGTTGCATTGACGCTGTTGTGCGAGGGCTACCACTTGCGGTGGAAGACATGATGTGTAGCACTGGGTCCCTACGCCCCGCGACTTATAACATATGTGCTAATAATGACTAGACAGGCATAGTTACTGGTGAGAATACAAGCACAGGCTTCTGGTGACCACAGAAGATGAATGAAAAGATAGTAGTAGAGGTATTGCACTGCATGGGTGGATCATACCGCTTGTCCTGTCCTGGAAGTGACAAATTGGGAAGGAACGACACTGAAAGTACTATACTTGTACCTACAAGTACCTGTTTTTCCTTTTCTCTCACTTATGAGCTAATAACCAAGGTAAGTAGAGAGAAGATGCACAGGAATAAACCTCTAAGCGTAAACATAGGTAATGTCAACGTCCACGTCCATGTAAGACACCTTCATCCCTAGAATAGGTAGCTACGAGCATCTATAACAGCAGGGGAATGGTCGTGATACTAATCCCGGATGACCCATCAAGACCACCTAGGTACTACAAAGGGGTGTTATTATGGATAATATCAGATTCTACAGCTTGACGCCTGGGAGGTACATCTCTTGTCTAGCTTGATAAACCAAGCCAAGTACTACCTACATTTTGTTCGTCGGCGTGCAAGCACCTAGATACAAGTAAGGTAGCTAGTAGCAATGATACTCGCGCTTTTTGGATCGTTGCAAGGGATCGGTAGAGTAAAGCGCGGGAATCATTTTGTGTTGGAAGTTTCGCTGGCAGCCTTAGATAGTGCCAAGATGCTAGTCCAGTCAGTCCAGCCTGTTTTGGGGAATATTCTAAGTTCGCCAACCACCACCACAAACTTTCATTAAGCTTGACGACTTTCCTACCTTCAAAACGATTCCATCTTTTTCTGCTCCCAAACCAGGTCATTGCCATAGTATGGCCAACAGCGGGTTTATGAAATGGACCACCAGCGAGGTCGATTTCTACGAACTGCTAGGCATAACACTAGAAGCCTTCTCAGAATCAGAACTCCGACGCGCTTATCGGAAAACCTTCCTGAAATACCACCCCGACAAGCTAGGCAAGGACTTCGACCCTGTCAAATATGAGCTATTTCAAGCAGCGCATGCGGTGCTCAAAGATGCTGAACTCAAGGCCAAATACGATAACCACCGCAACGCGAAACTTCTCAAACAGAGGGCGAATGAATTGTTCGAGGGCAAGAGGAGACAAATGAAGGAGGATCTGGAGGCGAGGGAACGAGGTGATATACAGAACGCGAAGAGACCCAGAGAGGATCACCAGGCTATGCTGAACAAGTTCGCGGAGGAAGGACGGCTGAAACGTGCGAAAAGGGAGGCCATGATAGCGACATCCTCACCTGCTGTGACGCCACAGAAAGACAATGTGCCATTCGCCCCGAAGCCAGCATTCCCAAAGCAAGAAACCAAAGAACCCAAAGAGAACACCGCGTCTGGCGCTACCGAAGATCTAGAAGACGAAGTGGAAGTATTGGAGAGGAGGATACGCGAAGCAGAAGCAGCCAAAGTCAAGCGGAAAGCAGAGAAGAAAGCAAGGAAGAGCGGCATATTCGTTCCTGTAGATTCGCCGTCTAGTACAGCTACAAGGCCGAGCTTGACAGATCAGGATACAAATACACCCCTCAAACGTCCTGATATATTGAGAGGATTGAAAACTGACGAGAAGTCTTCAGCCTCCCCAAAATTCTCCTTCTCTCCTGCCGGGACGCCCAAGGCAAATGATTTCGCAGCTACAATGGCCCGGCTCAAAGCTGCGGAGAAGCAAAGACTAGAGGACGAGATTAGGAATCAGGACACAGCGGAGGCGCAAGTCGAGTAGACGCGCTACTCATCTACAACACTTATGGTTTTAGCATGGCGTTTGGGATTTGATTATTTGCTATACCCATTTGCTTTGCGAAGGAGATTTAGAGTCATAGATTTTCAACGCAACATTCTCATGCATATAGAATTATTGTCTGAACATATCGTACATCGTCTAGATCCTTGATATACATGCCCACTCACCACTGCTTTGTTAGATGCCACAAAGGCACAAAAGCCTTTACTCTCGCCATCTGAAGCACTTGTTCCTCCAGTCCCCATTCAAGCTTGAACTCACTGCCCTCCTTATATGCAGACAGTTCTCCCCCAGAATTGACATCAGTCATAACCTCTAATCTGCAAAGTCCCAATCCAATATTGCCCATACCAGCCAGCCAGTTCCCAGTATTCCTCCGGCTCTTCTCCAATCTTGCAATATTCGTTCCAGCAGGTATGTCCTGTATTCCAAGGTCCTTCTCAGGCAGATACTCCAATGTCGTAGGTATGCTCTCATCTCCTCTATACAACATGACAGGTAATATCCTCTTCCTCACCACTCCCGTATGATGCGTCCGAATCGTCAATTCCTGTCCCACATAACATCCTTTCCTGTAATCAATACCGCCCATTAAATCGATATTACTCTGCTGTGGCAGTGCCGTCTCTCGAACGATCTCGTCCTGTCCCTCCGCCACACCCTTCAAATACCGCCTCACTCGATACGTACTCTCGTTCACCTCTTCCATCTCTTCTTCCGGCTTCGCGCCAGCAGGCAGTATCAAACGCCTCCCCATCCCCGGCGCTCTGGAGTCCTCACACCCGACCCCCCTTTCCTTCCCAGAGCCCAACGAGTGCTTCGTCCACCCCTCTCCCCTCCACACACTCCACACCGCCCTCTCGCCCTCATCAACCAAGCGCACATCAAACTTCGCCCGCAGCCTATAGCGTTTAATATGCTTCGCCAGCCGCTCCGCCTCTTCCGCATCAACCTCAATCAGCCATCCCCTCTCTCCGTCCACCATCTCGGAGTAGATGAAGACATCATTCAGCACCCGGCCCTGTGCGTTGAGGAAGGCCGCGTAGAAACCGGACCCGCGTGGTGTGCTGGGGGAGAGGTTGGCGGTTATGACGCCTTGCAGGTATTTTGTGGCATCGGGGCCGCGGAGGGAGATGAGGCGGCGGGATGAGAGAAGCGAGATGGCGGAGGGCGGTGGTGGTGGTGGGTTGGCTGTGGTGCTGTAGATGCGTGTGGAGCGAATGCAACTCTGGCAGATGAAGGAGCGAGGAAGAAGCTTGGGGAGAGTGAGGAGAGACTTCATGGTGATGTTTGAAGCTCTGTTGGCGTTTGGAGATTTTGTGAAGCTGTGACCTCAATAACGGCGGGATGGTTCCGCGCTGCAGTCAGATGTTCAGATTTCTAAAAGTCGTCTAGTCGTTACGGTCACAAGATGGGGAACTTCTTGAAAGATTTATCGTCCGTCCCTGCTTAGCGACAAGCCATCCGTGCCGAGAACAAGTATGAGTACTTAATCTTTGAACAACTAAATTTCTGTACACACATTGTAAAATATTATGGGATTTTGTAAAATGTATTCCGTTGCTTCTTTCAAACGCTTTGAATCCTTTTCACTAGACTTATACTCCTTTCGTCGCCGTTGCGTCTGATCTGCGGGTAGTCACTCTCCTTGTAGTACAATAGAGTTTAAGAACAGCTTCAATACTTGGCTTTGATTCTTAATATATATAAAGGGGTCATAACTGAGCTTACAAAACTGGTATAAATAGGAAATTGCTATGAGCGTTGTCGCTGCTGTAGTATGCAGACTAATGCTTGATCGCCACCCAGCTGGGTACCTTTATCAGAAGGCTTACCAGCGTCCCCCCAAAAAAGAGGAGTAATAAAGAGTAAGAGTAGCTACAATTCTTCTTTCGGCGCACCTCTGATTTCTTACTAACGCCAGCCGCATCATCTTGCCAACCATTCATTCCCTTACGTTCTTGTAAATGATTTAAAATACCAAAAATACATAAAAAAAAAAACACCAAAATTTTGGAGGCGAAGGGAATCGAACCCCTGACCTTTCGCAGATTAGATCTTCACAGACGTGCAAAGCGAACATTATACCCCTATGAAACATCAGTCACACCGTTGTGAGAAAGTTGGTTAGCACTTTTGGGGCACTAACCTAAACCACGCCCCCATCTATACTTTATGAAAAGGTAATTTTTGAAGTAAGACTTTGCAATTTTAAATATTATATCCTATCCATAAAGGATGTGTGGGTCACCTGCCATAGAATGCTGGTATTTAGTAGGATGGCACTGTACTGGGGCCAATATAAAACAGTTAAAATGAGCCTTTCAAAAGCATTTGTTCACAGTTGTCATCTGTATTGAGGACGTTGTCTTGAAAGCTTGCCAGGAGTCAAGTTGAAGCCTCGCTGAATTCAGGTGTTCGTCCCCTAGGTAAACGACCAGCTTGAAGAACATGTGCATATACAATGCAATCTATTTATTGATAGTTTCAGAACTTTTAGAGCAATACAATAATACTCTCTATCTGGCACGATTCTGGTATTACGCCTGCTGCTCCCTGCCATATACTCCACAATCTGGCTAGGGCTGAGATATGTATCCCCTGAATGTGAATACGATATATAGCCCTGATTACTGAATATCAATGAAGCTATTTCCTCAATGATTCGTGAAGTATTGAAGCGTATAGGTGGTATTCATGAATTTCATGAATTCTTCATGAATATTACACGTGGTTGGCCTAATGTAGTCCTGCCCCTAGATAATTGTTCAACCCCTCCGACTGATGTTATCGATTGTTGGCGGCTAGAGAGGTAGCTGGCACTGCCTCTCTGGTGAGCACTTGCTGTTTGTAGTCTTCTCATGGTCAGAGTTGAGGAATTCAGCCTGTGCTGGTAGGCTCGAATCTTGCGGCTGCCAACCCATCGTGCTCATGATAACAGCGTAGCTAGCAGGATGATGGATTTGCGAGTAGCGACGGCAACCTCGAAAGCGACTGCGACTCGATCTCTGATTGTCCTTGGGGCCCGACAGTTCACGCGCGGCTCCGGTCACAGTGGCAGATGGGATTGTGCTGGAGGGCGATCTCGGGCGGTGGTCATGTTGGAGGAAGGTGGCTGCAGTGAAGCATTCGTGCAAGCCGGCAGCAACTCCTCAGGGTTTTCCTACCTCAACACAGCCTCAATTGGATCACCTAGATCTCAGATGCGGTAACATCATTAACAGTACACAAACCAAATACACAGCACATATAATTCTGTGGATCTGGGAGAGCATCACCACTTTCTGCAGCCGTAGTCCTGCTCGACAGATTCTTGAACCCTCATTGAAGTGACACCACCAATTTACAGATCACATAGCAGGCACTTGGTCCACACACGAGCACACAGTCACACCATTCGGGAGAGTCAGGGTCTTAGAGGGGTTGGTTTTACAGCAGCATGGAAGGGGCGGTTTTGACGCGAGAGAACGTTTTGGGAAGGTTTTTCTTGTGAGGAGCAGGGGGGTCGTGCAATCACGGTTGCTGTGGCCAGCGTACTTGCAACATGGCTTCACTGTGGCCGTAGTCCACTAGATATCTAGAGATCGCAGACAAAGGAGGACAGCTGGTCGCCGAGTCAGAGCCTTATATCACAGTCACAAACAAAGCACTCCTGTCAACGGATATGTATATATGCGTAGATAGAAGCCAGACCGCTCTGTGGAGGAGGTTGCTGGTCACAAGAGTGTGATGAAGTAAGGTGCGTCTCCTGAGGTAGAGGTGCCAAAGCTGGGTCATTCCGGCATAGCTGTCCCTACGATGGAAGGCTGGAGCTGAGTATGAATAAATGAATGAATGAACGAATGTTATCGATTGTTGAGTCTCGGGTAGGGTTCCCCTCCACGCTCAGGCGGAACTATGGATTCTAAACAACTACTGATCCAATACCGCTGTTCTTAAGGAACACTTCTGACAACATGATGTGCATATCTTCTAACGTGTTATCATGAAAATCAGAATATGGGCTGTTTGTAGCAGTACATGACCTCGCGACAGAAAAAAGCGTTACATGCGCAAATCACCAACTTTGAGATGAAAATTTTCAAGTTAAATATGTTTCAGTATTAGATTATATGGAGATTTTATTTACTGAACTGTATTTTCTGTAGCGCTCTTTATGTCGTAGAAGTGTCGTACAGATAAAATGCAAGAAAGTCGATATTCGACTTGAAGCAACTAATATATGCGTTACCTTCATAACAAAGAAACCTTTTTGAAACCCAAGAATTGGGAGTCTCAAGATAACATTTACCAATTTTATCAATAGGTTTCTTATAAAGGCGCTGTGAACGTTCAGGAAAAGTGTATTCAAATTTACATATTTTCCAAACCTTTTTGTTTGACATTCTCACAACGATCTTGATTTCTTGAATACGACAAAAACAAGAGCTATGAACTCAAATTTATATCGAAAGGTACCTCTGGTCTATATGCATATCTAGATAGAAAAAAACACGAGGATTAAACGTTAAGAGGTAGAGGCTGGGTTGTGAACATCAAAAGCGTGTTTGGTCTTGGCCAAATTTGCCTATAAATATGTACATATTCCCCCATAAGTACTGTTTCTATATCCATTTTTCTTATCCAATTTTCATCCAAATCACTTATTTTCTGTGCTAGAATACACAAACTCCACCATACCCCATTTTTACAGCCATGGTGCCCTATTCCAAGTGTATGTGTTGTTCCATCATAGACGGAATTTGACCTGTTGCGGTTGCTGTCTATCACTGAAAATCACACTTATCAGCTAGTACTTCCAATTGCCTAACTAGTCCTAAGGTAATTCCTCTGTAGTGTCTTCAACTTGTTCTAAACCATCAAACTAAAGCGCGGCGCGTACTTTTCATTTTTCGTTCCTGTCTTCAACCTCCTCTACGCCAGAATCCCAAGCACGACAAAATCGTGGAGTAAGAACCGGTTATAATAGGTTGAATGGTGGTAGATCTGTGGTAGCACCTGGAGCAGTTGGTTCGCCTGTGAATAATGTTGCCCCAGGGCATATGGTCTTGACAGATTCTCCAGTTGGGCAGGAATATTACGACTCAGGAGATGACGAAGATAGCGAGCTTGAGGTTATTCCAGAGCCAGTTTTCTCTGGTGTTACGCCTGAGTAGAAGCAGCAGTATCTTGGGGATTGAACTTCTTGTACCCATATTGAGAAGAAAGCACGGTCGAAGACAAGCCATGTATGTCATCTATAGAACATCTTGTTACATACTAGTCTCTTGCAGATGTATTGGTACTATACTTGAACCCGTCTTGACTGCCTTTTTAACGCGAAAACGAAGAAAATCCCACATGATCCCTTGACCGCACAAGAATACCGCTGGATCTGTACAAAGTGCAAGAGCTCTCAATTCTTCCTATACGAGTCCAAGAGGCATGGAATAACCACCGGGTTAAAGAATCATGTCAGAGACGTCCATAATATTACAAAGGCGACTCGTGACGCTGCAATACTAGGGTGCGATCGCGGTCACGACAAAAGGACTATCAGAGGCAGATGGATCGATTGCCAATGAGAAAACCGATCGTCTTACACCAGAAGCAACTCGTTTATGGATCGCGAAGACGCACAAACCATTTTTTATATATATATTTTTTTTTTCATAATTGAAGCTCAAGAATCCCAGGAGATGTTTATTGCGTACGGACAAAAGCTTGCTTATAAAGTCAGGCCCACACTAGGGAATTATTTCTTCGTGGACTTTCAAGCTCATTGCACAGCTCTACGGCAAAAGCAATAGACTGAGCTTGCTAAGATAGCACAAGTATTGCTCTCTTGCTCGGCTTCAGATGCCGACTTTGAACGCCTGTTTAGTATTGTTCGCTATGAGTATTGATTGCCGACGCCACGCCTTCAAGACGGCAACTGTGAAAGTACTCTTGCTATTGATTAGCTCGTATCAAATTAAAGATGATACAGATCGCAAGCTGGTCGACGACGCTATGAAGCTGGATCTTGGCAAGCAAAAGAGCTACTTCGGTAGTATTCTGTATCGACCAGAAGACGGGATTGATAGAAAGGTTGCTGATCCGAAAGCACTACAACTCTTCGTCGCCGTAGATAAACCACGCGAGATCGCTCACTTGGACGGGGATAAAATTGAAGAAATGGTCTTAGTTGAGAAGCCAGAGATCTATATAGGAATAGCTTTATAATTTCCTATTTAGGTATGTGTCTGGACTTCCATGTCCAAAGGCCATGTTACCTCGAGATGTTCTCGCAACAGGGGGTGACGGAATTATATGGGTCACCGCGCACGGGCCAGTAACACCAAAACCTGTAGATCGCGCTCTCCGTAAACAAATAAATCACTTCACCAGGGGTGCAGGAATTGATACGCGGGCTGATTTTGAGCGAGATCACCAAAACAACCACTCCTACCTCCTCCCTACCCTTACTCCCTTACGACCCCAACACCACTAATATGGCCCCGATAACGCGCTTAGCTGCTCGTCGATTGACTCCCGATCGACCTATTCGAGGTTCTGAAAACAATACAGTACATCGGGGCCCGTTCATCTACGATTACGATCGCAAATCCCCCTCTAAGCCTCTACCTACTCTTGCGAAAGAGCACCACATTCACGAGAGTACAGCGCGTCGGTGGCTTGCCCAAAGACGTGAATTAGGAAGCCCTGCTAATCGTCGAACTCGTCCTCTATCGACAGTACTAGGGAGAAAGTCTAGGATCTCAAAATAGACGTGCCAAAAGCTTGTGTCGCCGAAACGAAATCTCGTACGCGACCAACTCTACGAAGCGCAGATAGAATACCACCACCTCCCGATCAAAACACGTCAATTACAATACCGATTACGCGCCGAGACCAAGGGAGGTCGGAGATACAAGCAAGCATACGTGGGGAAGGTTATTCCGGCAAAAAATCATAATATAAGGGTTACGTACGGTCACGCGCACAAGGACAAGACAATCGAAGATTTTTGGCAGTATATCTTCTTTACCGACGAGGCACATATCGACTCCTCTTCTTGCGGGGCGAGTTGGATCCTCCGAGAAGAAGGGACACGAAAAGAGACTTGTAATATCCAAGAGAGGCCCGAGA